TGTTGGTTCACGTCTACTGGCTTTTAAACATCGAAGACTGCATGTAAATCCCACTGGACTGTCCCATCCAGCTGCACCATCACCATCCACTGCAGCAGCTTACCACCACGGTAAAGCCTGGGATGCCTGGCTCTCTGGCCACAGCAGCCACAGAGCCACAGGTGTGGGAATATTCCTCTAGACCCTTATAAGCAAGTGGCATCAAACCACCATGACAGGAGTGGGGGCTTTCTCCTGAGGTGCATGGGGACCTGTATCTAAGCAACAGAAGGTCCCACCAAGGCACAGATCAGGAGTATGGGTTTTAGAAAACTGCTCTGTTAATGGCGTCTTTTAAAACCTGGTCTCTTGAGCCCGGTGTGAATCAAATTTCCAACAGCTTTATAAATACGTCACCAACAGGAGGCCTTTAGAGTAAGCATATTGCAGTTTCCTGACATTTTCATTCCTCTGTCTTGACATTTCTGAAGGGCATAAGAGGCCTAAAAAAAGAAACAGCTGCTCCCAGGGCACCATATGTTTTCAATTCCATCCTGCACTGGTGTAATAGATGGTCTTATTATAAATATGCAGCGGTTTTCCAGATGAGCCTCCCCCTCCTCCCTGAAAAGACCTGGTAAAACTGTGCAGAGTGGAGATGACAGGGAAGGAGAACAGGCGGGAAGAGCCCTGGGAGATTTTAGGCACCTATTTAGAAGATCCTGAATATTAATATTCAAGTTACTAACCCAGGCCCTGATGCTGCAAATATTTAAAGAAAAAACACCTGACTCAGGCAAGCAGTTGCACAGCAATGCTTGGCAGAATTTTCCAGCCTCCATACACCATTTCCCCCTACTCCTCCATCCCTCCTGCTGCTTTTTCTGAGGTGCTCTTCTGATTTCTTAAAATGTTTCTGTGGATGATCATTTCTGTACAAGGCGGCACGTGGGTTGAGCAATTGCTCTCAGCAACTGTTATTTATCAGGAGATTTTCATATGGTTCTCTCTGCAAGGGACCGAGGCTCTTGCGAGACTTTGTTCTTTTAAACAGTCAAACAATCCCTAATAGCATTACTATAATATAATATAATATAATATAATGTAATATAATAAAATGCCCTTATTGGTTAGAATAACTGCGGTCTACAAACCAGTGCAGCTGTAGCAAGCTGCAGAGTTGTTCTGGCATTTAAGAGGTTACAGAGTTCCTGTCTGTATCTGGCTGTTCTGGGCATCCTTATGATGATGATTGCCTTACACATCCCTGCTTGCAGTTATTTATACAGTGGTCCAAGCTTAACTGTTCGGACTTTCTGTTCTACATGTCTATTCTGAACTGATTTCTACATGTGTGTGTGGGGGGGTAATTTCAGCCAGAACAGCTGAGAGAAGAAAAATACAATTCTGGTGGCTATTTTCTTAGGAAAAATAAAATGTACTCATGCTTTGGAGTAGGGACTTAAAATCTGTCAGTCAGAATGACCTATACATCAGGATGTGCCCTTGGCCTTATACGTGGAAATCCACCATCACTGAGTTGTTCAAATTGTGTTTTTTGAATTGCAGAAGTGAAGGAGAGATGTGCTGGGGCACAGATGAAATCCCTGTGGGGTTTCTCCACGTTGGTGGAGCTGCCACCTTCCACAACAGTTACATCAACCAGCCAGGCCAACCACTCCAATGCAGAAGGCAAGGAGTCAGATGAAGCAATGGTGATGTTGAGGAAAGACAGAATAGCAGCCTTTAATTTGATGGACCGTTGTGCCCTGAGTACACCTACAAAAATCACAGTAGGTTTTCTCTTTCCAGGAGTTTTTTAGAGGGTAATTTTTTGGTGAGTTGTGTCACCATGTACAGTTCCTTGAGTGTAGCAATCTGCACCTGAGCATGTATAGCATGGAGCTGGAAACCTCATCCACACAAAAACCCCTAACAGTGGGAACCTCAATATCTACATCTTTGCCAGCTCTGAGCTCTGAGTCATGCAACAGAATTCACATTATAGTACCTGCAAGAAAACTAGCTGAGAGATGGGTGGAATAAGAGATGGAAGAAAAGAAATCCCATTAAGAGGGCCATTGAGCTGTAATTATCTTCAACGAGGCAAAGTCCCTAATGAACAAGGAGATCCATGGACAGATTTGGTTCCATAATAGTGTGTTTTGCGCTCCTAGAATAATTTGCATACCATCAACTGAAAATGCCTGTTGATATTTGGTAAAATGAAACACAGAGAGTTTACAACAGTTTCCCACAGTGCCCTGAGTATGTCAGCAACAGCACTAGGGAAAGGCCCCAAAATTCCTTCCAGCCCACCGTTCAGACAAGCTCTATAGGTTGTCTTACACATGAGGACTCAGTCACACCAGTGAGCCCCCAGAGGGTGCACTAGCTGGCTGAGTGAGATGCTCCACGGATGTATATGAGTATATTGGTGAGACTGGTTGCTGGTCCCTCCAGGAGCTCCTGAGACTCAGCACTGATAAACAGGCACTTCTGGTGTGTAAGTCATCTCACCCTCGTGCCTGACACAGGGCAGAGGGGTCTCACCCTGAAAGTATGGGTTTCCAGTAAAAAAACTGTAGCAGTGATAGATGTTTCCTCTCTTAGCAATCCACTCACCCATTACTTGTTAACATGTCGATCTTCGCCATGAGCAAAGACCTAAGGTGTTACAATTATGTATGTCAAATGCTTCTGGAGTTTGACCAAAAGTTACCATGGAGAAGAGGGAAGGGCATGGGCACGGAAAAATTCTGCAAGTGAAACAGCTGCTGTGAAACTGTTTAGGGGGAGCAGGCGGAGGAGCAGGATGCAGGTGAGCCACATACACCAGTATGTTGGCGAGTGCATCTCTGGAGTACAACTTCAACACGTAATGGTCATTACATTTTGAGATCGGGATTGACTACTTCCATGCCTTAGATCACCTGCTTAACATTTGCTTTTTGGTTAGCATCTGTTACAAGTCCAGAATCTGTGTTTAACCTAGAGGATAACCCATTTTGAAATATTAGTGTTGGTTTTAAATAAACTAATGGATTTTCCATCAGAAGCCTCAATATGCAATTTCAGTGGCTAATATCTCTCAACATGGACATATCGTGACTTATTTCAAATACAGATTTCCCCAGGTGCAACTACCAGTCATTGAATCTGGTTATGCCTATGTCTATGTCTATAAAACCTCTTTGTTGTCCAATTATCGTTCCTTATGAAAACTCTTATGAAGAGTGACAAAAGTCTCTCCTTGAACCCAAGGTAAATAGACCAACATCTCCAGATCCCACTGTAAGGCATGCTTTCTCGACCTTTGATTATCCTTGTGGTTCTTTGAGTTCTCTCTAACTTCTAATGTTACAGGATGATAGAAGGACCCCAAACCTGACATGCTATTCTAGAAATTATCAGATTTGTGCAGATACAAAAGAAACATAAACTCCCTAATCTTAGCTGAGACCCCTTTGTTTCTTCAGCCAATTACTAATGAGGACTGGCTGGCCATCTCCTGGAAGTGGGATAACAGCTGGTCACCCCTGCGATGACTTCCCCCAGTTTTGCCCATGTCTTGGTTTCTCCGACAGACAACTACATATTCAAAGTATGACTGAACCGTTGGCCACGTACAGATGTGAACCTCACCTTCAGCTGTCTTGGATATAGCATTTGTTTATGCCCAGCATACATGCAGTTTGGGTCACTATAGATCATCTTTATACACATTGTCCTGCCCTCTTCATTTCTTACCTCTCCCACCATTTTTGTGTCACCTGGAAATGTTATCAGCAATAATCTGTTTCATCTAGACCTGTGACAAAGATGTCCCTGAGAACTGGACCAGTGGAAGACCTTTGTAAGACTTCTTTAGGAAAACACCCATTCAACAATGAGTCTCTATTTATCTCCCATTATACTTTGAGATGTAACATTTCACTGGTTTTTATCCTTTCAGTGTGTTTCTTAAGGGTATTCTATCACTGTACCTTCTTTGTTAGGAAGTGTTAGGAAGATGACTAACATCATCTACCTGGACTTGTGCAAAGCAACGGACAGTGTCCTGCATGACATGTCACTAAATTGGAGAGACATGGATTTGATGGATGGACCACTTGGTGAATAAGGAATTGGCTGGATGTTTGCACTCAGAAGAGTTGTGGTCAATGTCTTGGTGTCCAAGCGGAGAGTAGTGACGACTGGCATTCCTCAAGGGTCACTATTGGGACCAGCGTTGTTTAACATCTTTGTCAGTGACATGGACAGTGAGATTGAGTGCACCCTCTGTGAGTTTGCTGATGACACCAAGCTGTGTGGTGCAGTCAACACGCTGGGGGCAGGGATGTGCCATCCAGAGGGACCTGGACAGGCTGGAGAGGTGGGTCCATGCGAACTCGTGAAGTTCAACAAGGCCAAGTGCAAGGTCCTGCACATGGGTCAAGGCAATCCCAAGCACAAATACAGGCTGGGTGATGAGTGGATTGAGAGCAGCAGGGAGAAGGACTTGGGAGTATTAGTGGACGAAAAACTGACCATGAGCCAACAATGTGCGCTCACAGCCCAGAAAGCCAACCAGGTCCTGGGCTGCATCAAGAAAAGTGTGGCCAGCAGGTCGAGGGAGGTGATTCTCCCCCTCTACTCAGCTCTCATGAGATCCAGCTCTGGAGTATTGTGTCCAGCTCTGGGGCCCCCAGCATAAGAAGGACATGGACCTGCTCAAGTGGGTCCAGAGGAGGGCCATGAAGATGATCATGAGGACAGGCTGTAAGAGCTATGATTGTTCAGCCTGGATAAGAGAAAGGTCCAGGGAGACCTTATAGCGGCCTTCCAGTACCTAAAGGGGGTTACCGGAAAGATGGGGAGGGACTCTATTAGGGAGTATAGTGATAGGATGAGTAGCAACAATTTTAAACTGAAAAAGGGTAGATTTATATTTGATTTAAGATAGAAATTTTTGGCTGTGAGGGTGGTGAGATGCTGGAACGGCTTTCTCAGAGAGGCAGTGGCTGCCCCCTCCCTGGCAGTGTTCAAGGCCAGGTTGGACGGGGCTTTGAGCAACCTGGGCTGGTGGAAGGTGTCCCTGACCATGGCAGGGGGGTGGAACTGGATGATCTTTAAGGTCCCTTCCAACCCAAACCATTCTATGATTCTATGGAATTGGAAGTATAGATTGTATTTATGCAGTTACCCTTATCAAACACATTTGTAAATTCATAAAAATATCACACTGGGTACCCCAGGCCTATTTTTTGTAAAAAAATTAATTGACATAATTTGTATTAAACTTCTTTCATTCCTCATAGTAAAGTGCCATAGCAGTAGTCCTCTATTTCCCTTCAATCAAAGTCAGAGTACTGACTCAGTCTTCACCGGGTCATTCCATTTATCGCTTTCAGAATTAAATAAATATAAACTGAGAATTTCAGGAACTTCATCGCTCCAAAGGCCTCAAAAGGTTAAAATTGCATACACTATAATAGAAAATAAAGCATCAGAATATTTTTTGTCCAACATAATTCTGGGTGAGTTAATTTTCTCCGTAAGTTATTATCTAAACACATTTTTTGAAAGGTGCTAAAAGAATGTACATTAACTTTTCATCTTAGCAACAGTGTTTCCAGTTTTGTCAGTGTATTATCTTTTCACCTATTTAAATAGCTTTTATGTCAGTTTGTATGTGTAGTCATTCAGTACAGGTGAAATTTAAGTATCCTTAAAAAAAAATTAAGAAATAGCAGCACGGATCATACAAAGGACAAAGAGCAAATACCTGTGATGGACAGACAGGACTAGCACAACCTAATAGCAATCCATGAAAGCAAACAAGGGAAATGTCCTTCAAAAAGGGGAGCATGTCGGTTTAAACCTCTATCAAGATCTATCTTATACAGCTGGAACTTCTGCAACCAGTAACTCCAGCTTTCCTTGGTCTTGGCATTGGAAGGAGGAAATACCTTCACAAGGATGAACTTCTCCTGGACAATGAATCCAATATGCTTGCTTTCCAACACCAGCCATTGCATGCTGGCCTCCCCCACATACACGTTCTCCTTTTGAAGACTTGTTTACAACTCTCTACGTGGTTTCTTCTGCTTTTGTGGTACTCATCTTCCAATGTAACTCAACACTGTTAAAACAGTTTTTCAAAGTAGTCCAACCCAGAAAACCTTGTACTTGTCCAGCCCACATGCAAGACAACCGTGTGAATGCAAAGTAGAAAATACTTTATCTCATTGTGCAGATAATCTGTAGAGTTAGTTGATGTTTGATCCACCATCATGGGCAAGCAAACTGTTTGCCAACATAGCCTATGATATTTTTACAAAAATGGGTCTTGCAATATCAGTGTTAACTTCCCTTTAGAGGATGGACACTGAACTGTAGACTTTCCTTATTTTTCTCATAGAAGTTCACAGATGCATCTTGTGCTATATGTAAACTCAAAAGAGTTTATATTCTGAACAGGAAAAAAGTGGGAAAGGGAAAACCTACATGCCCAGATGAAGCAGATTTCTCCAGAACACCAACCAAGTCAGGGATGGAGCTGTCAAAAATGCATGTTGTGGATCCTTGCTTGTGATCTAAGAGGGGATCCTTTGTGGTCTAGTCCCTTTGGGCTGCAGGACAAGGCCTGTAGACCCAGTCTACTGAATTTAACTGGTCCTGAACTGCATGTTAGCTATTAAGAATCATTGTCTGGGGAACAATGTATACCTCTGGACTGAGAGGGAGTTCCCAAGCGTGCCCCACGTGTCAAGTGGCAAGAACTGTGGAGTAATTTCTTACTTTGTCCAGTGACAAAGAGCAGTCAGTTGTGCTGCAGTCACCACTAATAAATTACCCTGCATTTCTCTTGTCACCAGACATGCTTACAAACACACACATTTCCAATATCTAAGCCTTCATAGCATTTATTAGCAAGTGCTGATGTGTTAAGCACCCCACCTCCTTCTTGGGTCTATGTGTAATTTTTTCCTTCTCTTATCCTGTGAAGAACCAGGACATAACCAATCTTGACTCCCTTTTCTCCACTAATGCCTTCAGGCAGAAGCTTTTATGCCTGCAAAACTAGAAGCATCAGCACAAAACTGCCTAGGATTAGCCCCTTTGCCTTTTATGGCAAAACAAACAGGTCTTCTTGAGGTCATATTCAAAATGACTGTGAAAAATGTGATGGGGGAAAGTTTTGGCTGCTTGCCAGTAGCTGTTCACATGTCTTTGTTGCTGTTGATGAAAACCATACTGATTGTGAGGCTGACATCCTTGTGGACTAGCCGCATATATGCACACAGAAATGGTGCAACTATAAACTGCTCAGGACAGCAGAGCTGAGCAGATTTTGCACATAGCTTCTCACCAGAGATTATCTGGGTGAGGGAAGGTGGCACTGGTGGCTCACTCCCTTGCTCAGATCATTTTGCCACCACAACTGGGAGGACACCTACTGAGTCCCCCTGGCACAGCTGCTCAGTTTTCCCTCACTCAGTTTATTACAGATCCCCAAAATTTGAAGGTGCAGCTCTGACTTCTAATGCATTAATGAGACATACTGATGTAATATTAGTTTGGTGGATTGAAATTAACAGATGTGTGGGGCTTAGAAATTTGTTATTAAGGTACTCTGTTGGCTCGCAATTTATTCCTCCAGACCAAAAGAGCCTGCCCCTCTGCTTTGTGTAGCTCTTTTTGATCTTCTCTCCATGACTCTGATAATAGTCCCTCCTCCCCTTAGAAAGAAAAATCCTTTTATCCTCTTTTCTCCCTCTGGGTGTTTGGCTCTGCTCTCCAGCTTCAGAGAGGTGAAGGGGGGTAAAACTAAAAGATCCCTCCAAAAATAGTTCTGATGATTAGGACTCTTCCTGCCCTTGGAGGACCGGGATGTATTATCTTCTGCCTAGCTCTGGCTTCACTCTTGCTTCATAGAAGGATGGGCAGAGATCAGGAAAGCTGGCACCAAGGTCCAGATTAGCCAAAGACCCCTCTTCCCTGTGCCAGAGATGGATGCTGCTGCCAAGTCAATGGGAAACTGTGCCAGCAGCAAGGGAAGAGCCACATTCAGAGGTCCCCCTGACATGGGCAGTGTCAAATGTGGTCTGTTCCCTGTCTTTACTGCCAGATGCAGAGCGGTGGGGGGGTGTGCTTGTGGTAGGGTGGCAGTCTGTGCCCTCCTTTAAGACCTTCTTGCTCTCCTCCAGCATTCCTCTCCTCACAGGGAGCAGAGACCAGAGGAACTGCTTGCGTCTCCTTTCCTAAGTAAAGGAGCGAGCATAGATGCAAGATACCCACTCTTTGGAGTGGTGTCTGGATCTCACCTGCTTAGAGCTGACCTCTGCATCCTTGCTTGTGTTTGACCTCCTAAAGGCAATTTCCCAAAGTGTGCCAAAGGAGGGCAGTTTTCAGAACAACTTCAGCCCAGCAGAGACAAGCCATCTCCTGCCATTGAGCTCCCCCAAGAAACCACAGGCAGGGTGAGGACAGCCCTTACCTTGTGCCTTTGGAGTCCTCCAAAGGTTATATGCTCCATGAAGCTGAAAGGCCAACAAATGCTGCAGGTTTCTCAGCAGAGCCATCAGGGTTGGGAGGAAACCCCCCAAAAGAGAAACCTGACATGCTCATGGACATTACACAGAGCTGAATTATTCATTGGAAATCTCTAAGCAAAACTTAGGTGTTTTTCTCAGCAGAAGCTCAGTAGCTGGGAGGTCCAGGGAAAAGTGCTCCCTACTGCACAAGCACTTTTAAGCAAGCTTGCAGTGATGTTGGTGTAGAAGCTGAGAGCTGCCACTGTGTTTCAGGACCTGGGTCTGAGGGCAAAGAACAGAGCACTTGGGTTGTGTTTTCTGTGGTTTTTTGTTTTTTGGGGTTTTTTTTGTTTCAGCTTCTAACCCCAAGTGTGGGGAGCAGAGCTCACATCTGTAAGCGTCATGGGAAAAAAACTCCATGCTGTGTAAGCAGTGTGCTAGCTAGAGAAAAAAAAATAAATTAGTGCATTGAAAGTTTGATATGATCAAATAAAAACATATTATTGTGCCACTCAGACTGTGAATGAGGTAAAATAATTAAAAGTTTGAACAAAGTGCTTTCCAACTCCCTTCTGCTCTTTTCCCTTAGGCATCTGATACTTTGCTTCATTTTAACAAGGGAAACCATACTTAATTTGAGTCTGGATTCAAATCACCTGAGCCCCAATTGAAAAGTAAATGCAAAGTCAAATCAATTTCATGTAAAGATGAGTACAGACAGCCACTGGGAATTACAGCCACTGCCAGCAATTATCATAGTTGTGATGGTTATTTCCAGAGATGCCTTATATTTTGTTTTTGCAGGTTGCACTTCATAACACACAAACTCAAAAATTACCTTTTATGCCTCACCACTATAATGTTATTAATTCACTAAAAAAAAAAAAAACCAACAATATCTCAGAATCTTAGAATTACCAAATCTCCTTAATTCACATTGAAAATATTTCTCTGTGAAAGGTGCCTCTAATTAAATTGAATTTTCAGAAGTCTCTTAGAGACTTCTTGATGTCTCCAGATAGCACAAGCTAGTAGTTTTCCCTTTCACTTCTGTAGAAAATTAACCAATGCCTCTCTTCTGGGGGACAAGGTCTAGGGTAGAAACTGTTCCTTCACTGACAACATGACTTTGCTGACTGGCTTGTGATTCACTGAGAGGGTTTTGCATAAACCACTTGTGAAATCCTTCCCAGTCCACACAGCCTACTCTTTAAATTTCTGAAGACCCTATCCAGCAAACATCTGCCCTTCAGAGAAGTATTTCTAGCTGAAGAGGCTCATCAAAGATTCCACAACACAGTGCTGGTAGAGAAAAGGCAAATCTTGCATTTAGCATGCTCACAGCCTCTCGCTTGTCTGCAAAAGGGATGTCCAGTCCAGCCACGCTGACACCTCTTCTGATGGAGCTGCCTCTCCATCCATGTTACAAGGCTAGTTCCTCTTCTGCGGGCTCATCCTGTGCGAAGGGTTTGATGCTGAGAGGAGTGTGGGTTTGATCCCTCCTGTGAAAAATGAGCAGGAAACACTCACTTTG